AATAAAATTAAAAACAAAAAAATATGAAAAATTACAATGAAATAAAAAATGTTAAAATACTATAATAATAATCAAAATAAATAATTACATTAAAAAACCAACTGCAAACAACCACAGTTCATGCCGCCACCGCAGCAATGCTAAGCACAAAAATGAAAGTAAAAGCGTCAAAAAGAAAAATATTCATTATGAAACGGACAAAAAATAATAATAAAAAATAAATAAAAATTAAAAGAAACTTGAAATGCACTTTATATTGCATGCAACCGCTGTGTATATGCTCGTGCCACATTCCAGGCGACAATAAAACGACAACTGTAACAAGCGCAACAACAACGAGCGCAACAACAACGAGCACAATGACAACCAAAGCAGCAACAGCAATATGAATGCATTCGACGACAACAATAAGCAGCAACAGCTACATAAATGAACTGAGACAACACAATTGTGTCACAGATGCCAACAGCTGCCACTAGTTGCAACGAGGAAGCCAAGAATTGAAAGTGAAAAATCATGTATGTGAGTATGTATGTATGTGTAAGTATATGCAATAAGTGGCGGCGTGAAAAAACTGCACAGAAATATCACATTGAGCAGAGCTTAGAGCAACAAGTGCAGCATAAATACATACATATATATTTAGGTAAATATACAAAACAGTTATAAATATGTATTTACATTACAAAATTATCAAAATTGCAAAAACACTAAAGGAATTGTTAAATAATCCCATCAAGCGTGAACGCTCGACTTGGTTCGGGTAGAGCTTACGCATTTTTATACACAATAAAACAAAGGAAAAGAGAATGTGTGAAGATTTAATGTATGTTTACAACATGTATGCGATGAATGAAAGCGAATGCGAATGTTTTTAATAACATAACCTTGATCTGCTTAAACCAAAAAAAAAAAAAAAATTATAATAAAAACTGAACAACAAAAAGAAGAAAAACAAAAGAAAAAATTAAATAACAAAAATTAAATTAAAAACTAAAAAAGTATGTATATTGAAAAAATATCGGGTGATTTTTTTGAGGTTAGGATTTTCATGCATTAGTATTTGACAGATCACGTGGGATATCAGACATGGTGTCAAAGAGAAAGATGCTCA